CTTATTGAAATAGAATGCAGGAGCGCCATGTTGACCTACAGAGCTGTGTTGTTACTTGCCTTCCAAGTCTCCTCCGATTTATGGTAACTCTATGAATGAGACTTGTCTCTAAGACATGCTGTCCTCAGCTACCCTGCTCAGCTCTTGTAAACTCAAGCCTGTGGCTTCCTTTAAGGAGTCAGTCATTCTTGGTTTTGATCTTTTTTCTGCTGCCTTCCGTCTTTCCCAGCATTATTGGGGGGTTTTTCCCCCCGAGAGAATCCTTCCTTCTCATGATTTGCCCAAAATAGGACAGCCTCAGTTTCAACATTTTTGCCTCACTTGTTTGTCTTTCTGGCAGTCCAGGGTGTCTGCAAAGCTCTTCTCCAGCACCAATAAAGTACAACATCCAAATTTGATATAAAGGTAATATGTTTATTTAGAATCACCCTGATCTGTAATTTGGGTCCTGGATTTTATTTAAATAGAATCTTTTAAACTTGAGGAAGAGTCTTGCTCACAAAGGACCTTTTAATTGTGTCCCACAAAATTGTAATTCCTTTTTCAATCCTACGTGGCTGTTATGATGTATGTTTTTCTCAAGGGCTTCCTGGTAATTACTCTTCATGGTTTCCATTGTGCACCCAGGAATCTTTCTTATTTTTAAAAAGCAAACAGCCTGTCTTTAGTGCGTTTGAGTGATATTTTTGCCACTGTATTTGTTCTTTGCTTAGACAATTAACAAGATGCCATGCAAGTACAAATTCACAACCATGGCTCTTTGTCTTGTTCAGGTAATGTTACTTATAAGCAGGATAGCTCAGAATTGTATACACCTACAATTAAATCTGTAACTAAACTTTATACTCATGGGCAATTTAAAGGTTTATTTTTAAATCCTTTACTTTTAAAGCTTATTGTATTTTTTTTGGCAATTTTTTTTTTTTGTTAATTGCTGGGCTACTCCTGTGATTCCTTAATTTATATAGTGCTCTGAAGTATTGGGGACATGGTGGCGCTGCGGGCTAAACCGCAGAAGCCTTTGTGTGCTGCAGGGTCAGAAGACCAGCAGTCATAAGATTGAATCCACGCAACAGCGTGAGGGCCTGTCGCTTTGTCCCAGCTCCTCGCCAACCTAGCAGTTCGAAAGCACGTAAATGCGAGTAGATAAGTAGGTATGACCTCGGTAGAAAGGTAAAACAGCATTCCGTGAATAGCCACGCTGGCCACGTGACAACGGAAACTGTCTCCAGACAAACGCTGGCTCTACGGCTTAGAAACGGGGATGAGCACCGCCCCCTAGAGTCGAACACGACTGACTCAAATGTCAAGGGGAACCTTTGCCTTTGAAGTATTGACCTGCATGACTTGGTAATCTGTGTATCAAAATCGCAACGTTTCTGCAGGCTATAAGGGACAGAAATAGAGAGAGATGCAGCTGCCCTAAGGTTTCGGGTGAATTTGTCATTGGAGAGAAATTTCAGTCAGTTCATACTCCTAGCCCATCATCCTTTTATTGGAGGACTGTTGTACTCTGTTCACTCATTTCAGTCAGTTCATACTCCTAGCCCATCTTCCTTTTATTGTACTCTGTTCACTCACTTTTTATGGGAACTGAAAGTGTGTTTCCATCATCAAATCATTGTCGAGTTGGTTTGCATTTCATGGAGTGGTGAGAATGCATTCCTGAAAATGGTTGTGAAGGTCATTGGCCTTACTGTTCCAGAAGGGGCCCTTGGGACTCCAGAGTTCAGCATCCATTCTGCTTCTCACTCTGTGCACAAACCCAACATTCACCATGCAAACTAATTAAGACATTTTAGTGGCATGTGGGTTCTATCACTCCCCTCAGTTAAAACTTCTCAAATTGCACTTCAGTTCCAGGACTAGATATTTCAGAAATGATAATAGGGCAGTGCTGCTTAAATGAGTAAATACTGATTCTGTGGTCATAAGTGCAAAGTGTTGCTGGTACCACATCCTCCAGAGCAAGTTTTTGAGCTGTGGCAAGTTCAGTGGGAAAAAGAGATCACCTCCATCTTAGTCCTTCTGGATTATCCCTTTCTGTCAACAAAAGGCCAACACTGAATTCAGCCCTGATTAACACCTTCAACTGTAGTGCTCTTCAGAGAGGTAACAATGAAAGCCTGTTTCAGAAATCTGAGTGGATTCTAAGGCAGATGTGAATTGTATTGCACATACAGTCATGGCCAAAAATATTGTCATCCTTGCAATTCTGTCAGAAAATGCAACCCTTCTCTCAGAAAATGGTTGCAGTTGCAAATGTTTTGGTACTCACATGTTCATTTCTTTGGTTCGCATTGGAACAACACACACACACACGCACAAAAAGAGAGAGAGAGAGAAAGTCAAATCTGATACAATCCCACACAGAAACCCAAAAATGCACTGGCCAAAATTATTGGCACCCTGTCTAAATTGTAAGAAATAATTGCTTTTCAAGCATGTGATGCTCCTTTAATTTGTATTTAGACACAACTGTCACTAGTAAGAGGTGTGGGCAATATAGTAATCACACTTGCAACCAGTTAAGATGGAGAAAAGTTGACTCAACCTTTGTGTTGTGTGTGACACTGAGCATGGAGAAAAGAATGAAGTGTAAAGAGTTGTCTGTGGATTGGAGAGAAAAAAATTATGGAAAAATATTGACAATAGCAAGGCTACAAGTCCATCTCCGGAGATCTTAATGTTCCTGTGTCCACTGTGCGCAATATCATCAAGGGGTTTACAGCCCATGGCACTGTAGCTAACCTCCCTGGATGTGGATGGAAATGCAACATTACTGAAAAATTACAACAAAGGGTTGTTCAAATGGAGGATACAGAACCCAGATTAACTTCCCAACAAATTCAAGCTGATCTGCAGACACAGGGTACAACAGTGTCAGCTTGCGCTATCCATCACCATCTGAATGAAAAGGGACGCTATGGTAGGAGACCCAGGAGGACACCATTGCTGACACAAAGGCATAAAAAAAAACAATATAGTGTGAGAATGTACTGTGGACAGATGAGACAAAAGTAGAGCTTTTTGGTAAATGACATCATGGCACTGTTTACAGAAAAAGAAATGAGGCATTCAAAGAAAAGATCACAGTCTCTACATTCAAACATGATGGAGGTTCAAAGATGTCTTGGGGTTGCTTTGCTGCTTCTGACACTGGATGCCTTAACTGTGTGAATGATATCATGAAATCTGATTATTACCAAAGAATTTGGGGGCATAATGTAGTGGCCAGTGTCAGAAAGCTGCGTCTCCACCAGAGGTCATGGGTCTTCCAGCAGGACAATGACCTGAAATACACTTCAATGCCTTGACTGTGTGAACGGTATCATGAAATCTGATGATTACCAAAGAATTTTGGAGTGCAACATAGTGGCCAGTGTCAGAAAGCTGCGTCTCCACCAGAGTTTGTGGGTCTTCCAGCAGGACAATGACCCAAAACACACTTCAAAAAGCACTCAGTAATGGTTGCAAACAAAGCGCTGGAGAGTTCTGAAATGGCCAGCAATGAGTCCGGATCTGAATCCCATAGAACACCTGTGGACAGATCTCAGAACAGCAGTTGGGAGAAGGCATCCTTCAAATCTGAAGGCCCTGGAGCAGTTTGCAAAAGAAGAATAGTCCAAAATTCCAGTAAGAAACTCATTAAGGGTTACAGGAAGTGATTGATTATAGTTATTTTTTCCAAAGGGGAGTACCAAATATTAAGTTAAGGGTGCCAATAATTTTGGCCAGTGCATTTTTGGGTTTCTGTGTGGGATTGTATCAGATTTGACTTTTCTTCTCTATTGTGTGTGTGTGTGTGTTGTTCCAATGCAAATCAAAGAAATGAACATGTGAGCGCCAAAACATTTGAAACTGCAACTATTTTCTGATAGAAAGGTTGCATTTTCTTACAGAATTGCAAGGGTGCCAATATTTTTGGCCATGACTGTAAATCCATATTCTTGATGGTGTCAGAATACTTTTAGTTTTTTCACCCCCTAATTAAATTTAAAATGTTTTTTTAAGGAGTTCTTGGATATTTTTAAAAAATTAATGGCAGCCCAATTGAATGGATGATTTAACTGATCTCATCCTTCCCTAACCATGGAAACAGTCATAAGAATCATAAGAATCTTGAAATGGCAAAGCTTGACGGGACCCTATGGATCATTGAGCCCAGCCCTTGTCAAGGAGGCACAGTGTTAATTGAACTCCGACTCTCTGGCTCTGCAGTCAGACACCTAAGACACTGACAGTTCTATGTAGTGCCTCACTGGTGTAAATGGAATATAGCCAAGTATACATGCAGAAGTAGTAGAATACAAGAAGAAACTTGTGGTTAGTAGTTCTTAAAACGGCCCCTCTGGCTAAATTCTAGCTCTTGTCTAAGGTGTGGACACTAAGGGCCTCATTGTTTGTTTGTTTTGCATGATTGTTTCAATGTTTTTTAGGGAAAATCTATGGCATTCTAAAATACTGAAGAAGAAGGTTAAGATCAAGTTTTTAAAATTGCTACTGGCATGTAAAGCTTTGAGTGAATGAATTGTCTGGGACAGGGATAATGGAAGAAAATCTGTATGTGGTTTTTCATCTTGGACTTTGGTTTTCTATGAATGAAATGCTCCCTTAACATAGAAGCAACTAGTTGGGTCTCCCATAGCCCTGATATTACTTGCATTTCATGTTGAGATTGTGTTTAATCCAGATACTGTGGCATGTGGTTTCTTTTTCATTGACATGCTTAAATTCATGCATCACACTTGGAAATGTAAAAATAATCAATGCTTCAAGAACATATTTAAACGGTTGTAGATTGTAGCTGCTGTTTATCTCATGGAGTAAGAAATGCAAAATAAGGCAAGATGGGTATGCCTTGAAATGTAATCCACCAAGTCTGTTGGTATCAGCTTTTGAGTTGCACAGAACTCTTCATTGGCTACCTTTCTGGTCTGTCAGATTTGGAGAAGGGCAACTGGATTAATTATATTCTGTTTCTTCTTCCCCTTCCACAGGTCCTTGAGGCAACTAGAGTGAACCGCAGGAAGAGTGCCCTAGCACTGCGATGGGAAGCTGGCATTTATGCTAACCGGGAAGAAAATGAATAGTTCTCCTAGTGAGATGCGGGTTGTTTGTTTTTTTAATTGCAGAGATTGAGAAACCAAATAGGAGAACAAAGTTTTAATTTTTTTTAAATGACATCATTTTAATCTGATATTTATATCAAACGTACCAGTCTCTGTGATCCATATCAACAGAAGCAGTTCATATATAATGTGTATGTGTGTGTGTAGTACACACACACACACACACACACACACACACACACACACATATAGTACACGCACAAACACAAAAAGCTATACTAAGAAGAGCTTATGCTGCCCCCCCAAGGCAGAAAGAGGTTGTAGCCTTGGAACTGACACTATCACCTGGTGGTAAAAAAGAGAAGCAGCAATAATCTGAGAGGACATTTTTGGGAGCCAGTAGAATGGACACCGGTTGCTTCCTTCATACTGTCTTCTTCACAGCCTTGGAACAGGAAGAGTTTGGCCTATACTGTATACAAGATGGCACCTCCTGTGGAAATACAAAATTGTTCATAGTTGTGTGAAGCTCAGAATGGCAGCTCTTCATCCATCTTACCATCAGTGGCGTTAAGAAGAGGGCTATTAATCTGCTATATTCTGTATAGCCATAATATATCAAGATATATATATTGCTGTTCTTAACAAATAAGGGGAAGGTTCTGAAGTCAGTCTAATGGGTTAAAAAACAGAGGCTGTTCAACTGCAAATGTGAATGTACAATCCATATGTTTAGCCATAAACTACCGTTTATTGCTTTTGGTGTAATTTTGAAAGGTGGAGGGAGCGTGGCAGACTGTTCTCCTTTTTCTTAGTTCCTCACGGGCTGGTTTTTCCTGGAAATTTGCCATCCTTCTCTTTCATAATCAGTATGCTTACAGTTTGTTTTTAATATTGCTGCACAATCGATAGGAAGATTAAAGAAGGTATAGAAATGCCAAATCAGATTAATATTGTTCTAGTGGCCTGTATGCTTGCAGTTATCAATTTGAACCATTTTTTTTCTCAGTGGATGTTTGCATTATCATCCATATTCAACATGCAACAGTTATTATAGTGTGGCAGGGATGAAACAAGGAAAAAACCCATAAAGAGGAATCAAGGTGAGTTGGAAAAGCAAGGGCCAAATCTGGAGAATTTGAGTGTTCTTCAGGGAAACAGTAACTGTCAAATCAGTTTATTATGGAGATAAATATCTTTAACTATATTTATACTACCAAAAGGTCATAATATTAACAGAGCATGGGGTGCAGTGGAAGGTGTTTTCTGTTACCAGAAAGTGAGACGTTGGAGAAGGTAACAGGGTGAAGTGGGAGAAGGAGAGTGGGGCCAAAGGTTTATTTTTGCTGTTGCAACAGTGTTTTGAGGGCTCGAAGATAATATAGCATCTGTAGTTAAGTGTAGTCAGAGAACCAGTGACAAAGAAGCATAGAGGGGCGGGGGGTGTTTGTATGACTGAGGTAGAGAGAGAAGTTGGAATAGCGAGCTAATGAAGAGATATGGTTGTACAGATTATTTTCTCCAAAGCTGTTCGCCAGCTGTAAGGGTATAAAACACTTCTTTTTGTATGAAAAGGGATATTTTAAAGACACTAAACTGATGCAGTATTTGTAATAACAAAGCTGACCTGTATCCGCATGAATAAACATTACAGAAAGTATTGAACAGTTTTGTAATCTGACATTTAGAAAAGAAATGTGGCATTTATTCTTGGGCTTTTTAGGCTGGCATAGTATTAGAGGCTGCCAATTTACTCTTCTGTTCAGGGAATGCAATATAGTTCAAGTGATGCAAACCCATAATTTGTAATTTAGAATTTGCCCCCAATTTAAGACAAAATAGTATAAGCAATGCAAACCCTAAAAAAATACTTCTGACTGGGTTTTTTTTTTAATGAAAGGCCAAGAAAAGAGAGAGGGGGAGAGAGAGTAGCCTTTAATAAATGTATCACCCCCATATTATTCTGTGTTTATGGATCAGGATAATATGTTCCAAATACAACAACTCTGCAACTAGAAATATATTGATATCCTGCTAGTCAATGTTTGGGTAGGTAGAGAGTAGTTTCATGAACACAAAAGCCTTGCACAGGATTCTTTTCCACATCCTAATCAGAAAATAGACTTTAAAAACATTCAGGTATTTATAGGCTTACTGTCTGGGTAATATTGCCTAGGGTGGATTTGATCCAGACCTGGAGAGGAGTAAGTAAGTTCAACATTTTATAGAGAGCTTCTATTGCCAGCAATAGAGCTTTGCAGTAAAAGAGTTACATATATATATGCATTAGAGCTTTCGCCTTCCATAGCTGGCAATAGAAGAAACCTGTTTATCAGCATGCACTACCTTGCTGGATCAGAAGACAGGTCGGCATCTGGAAGTTATTACAAGACTATGAGGCAGACTTGGCAAATCTTGTCCCTTTGCAAAAGAATCCTGCTGTACAACTGGAGAATGTTTTACATAGAAGTTGTGTGTATATTAAAGATTTGCACACTGTGCTAAGTATTTGGAGCACAGTCCAGCCAAAGTTGAACATTGTTGTACTGATTTTAGCAAGAGCACATATTTAACTATTTTCTATTAAAATCAGTGGGTTGTGTTTTTTTAATGGTATTTTCAGGGTCTAAATTCTAAAATACTGCATAGAAAAATGGAATTCAGTTCATGGATGGAAGGGAAAATCAGTATGTGGAGAGAGAGGTGGGGAAATAGAAGGACCGGAAAGCTGTCTGCAGTGAAGAAGTTCTGCCCCTAGAATGCAAACACCCACCAACATTTTCATTGTTCCTTGCAGGCCTTATAGAGGTTTTTTGGTGTTTTTGTTTTATTTTGGACCACAACTTCCAAAATGTCTCAACCAACGTGAGTAGTAGCCATGCTGGCTGGGGATTCCGCGTATCGCAGTCTGAGACAGTAACTTCTCCAAACATTCGTCTTTAACTGAAACTGCCTGTACAATCAAATTGGGATGCTGTTGTTGTTTTTTTAAGCTTAAGGGACTGTATTTTTCAAAGGAAGCTGTGCTCAGGAGCTGATGGATTCTTTGCTGAAAACATTGACTTATGTTCTGAATGGTCACACATGGATGAGAGGCACCAATGAGGGGGAAATGAAACCAAAGATGATATATTTGCTTGGAATTGGAAGTTTTCTGCTCTTTCCTAGATTATTGTGATCAACTCAAGCATGAAGCAAAGGGTATGAGGACCTCCCCTTTTTTTCTAAAAACAAAAATAAAACGTTACTTCAAAAATGTTTCTTTTGTCTAAGTATCTTGTTTTTTTGAGGGGTGCATTTTTCTTAGAAGGATCAATTGGATCAGACTGTGGCATCTGGGGGTGACTTTGAAGGAAAGAAAGGCAAAAAAGACTTACGCTGTTTCCCCAACTTGAATATTGCTAATTATATTTGATTGTGAAATCCGGAATGGGGAATTTCAGGAATCGTCGTATCTTGACCACTATTTTAAGCAATACATAGGTAGTATAATGGTCTCATATTGTCTAGAAAGATATGCCAGTTCTTGCTATACAGAGAGAATATACACCTAAAACCATATTTGTGGTTGACTTTGTCTTTACCAAGCAATGAGAATGTTTCTTGAAGCTGATACTGATGTAATAAAACTGCATTGAGAATTAGGTAAACATTAGAATTTGTAACTGTATCTGGGTATTTTAAAAATGAACAGGTTCTGCAAAACTCATTGTTAAAAGAACAAAGTGACAGTTTTGATTTCCTTTCATTCCCAGCTCAGAGGGATCCATTGTTGCAAACTGTAGTGTCTCATTTCCTCTCTTACCACAAATAAGCAACCACCCAGTTGCAAAATGGGTGGCTTCTTGTATATGTTAACCACTTCACTCTTGTACCTTGCTTCTGTTTTATAGTGACTGTGAGGCATACAATGCAAGTATATAATTATTTTCTCATTAAAAATTAAACTCATCTTGTGTTTCTTTACCTAAAAGGGGTCGGGTGGGGAGGAACGGGAATGGGAATCTTTTGATGTGCTCTTCTGGTCCTCCTTACTCAGCATGGTCAGTTGCCAGCCCACGGGCCAGTTCAAGGACACACAGCAGTTTGGTTGACTTCCTTTGGCGTGGCCAAACTTAAGCAACCTGTCGTAAAGCCCTTTCTCAGTTTCAGGTGAAAGGTAAATATGTTTGTTTTATGCTGAAAGTAAGGCATTCCTCTCTGTTACATCTCTCTGGATTTTGTGGAAATGGCAAGTGCCATATTTTCTATGAAGCTGAATCTTTTCACGATAGTGATCTCACTGTCTCTTTGAAAGCCATACTAACTCATAACGGTCAATTTTCTGGGGACAAAACCTTTCTGCCTTCTGTTTGGAGGATGAACTTCCCAGCAGCAAACGTGTAGTTGGTTGTCTTTGAGTTTGTGCGTTGACCCGTCCCTTGCAAAACACAGAACTGCAGCTCATGCAGTGCCGTGGAATCTTTAGGAATAAGCTACAGTTCACAATTTTCCCATCCCAACCAGAGTTTCAGAATGTGTGGCTCTTCACAGAGCAACTCCCTTCAGCTCTAACCTGCAGCACCGATGGGAACTGGAGTTCAAGAACATTTGGGAAGCCATGCACTCCCCAGTTTTGACTTGTACCTTGTCAGCTATATATACAAAAAGGTAAAGTGGGTGTACAGAAGACTGTCCAAAAGGAGTGAAGCCTTCAGATAAGTGAACATGAATACCTACATTTTTTTCCCACTGCCAAAAAAAAGGGTTTTTTTAAAACCATTAGCACTACGTGTCTAGATCACTCATGAAACAAGCTTGGATAAGTTCTCCTATTGTGGAGAGATTCCAAAAATAAAACCCTTGAGTGTACTTTGCTTCCTTTTCATATATATAATGAAAGGGGAAAGCCACTGAAGTCTTGCATGTTGGAGATGTACTCTGTTCTGGCATTAAGTACCCTGAGCCAATGAAAGTTAATTAGCTCTAGGCTCCATTCAACACTATGAAGTGTGTTGGTTGTGATGACCTTTTGCCCTGGGTTTAAAGATGTGGAGAACTGTGTTTTTGAATTATACTTCCCAGAATTCTGCAAGCAGCCATATTGCCTGGAAAATTTTGCAAAAACACCAGTCTACACACTTCTACTCTGTAGTCTAAGTGAGCTTAGTTGAGAATGAACTTCATAAAGCTCAGTATAAAAAAAAAACAAAGTTGGGCTATTAGATCAATTAACAAAGACCCAGTTTTACACATTGCCTTGGGAGCATGGAAAGATGGAGCATAATTTTAATTTAGGTCCTCCTCTGGTGTTTAGGAACAACTCTGAATGGGCTTCTAAAGGCTTTATCAACTGAAGATTTTGCAGGTGAAAAACTATTGTGTCATTTTTGAGTGCTCTATGCAGGCATTTCCAGTGGCCGACATACTGATGGGTGTGGTGGAGGAAGACACGAGCATTCACAAGTGGAGCTTTACCTGGAGAACATTCTCCTGTTCTCACAAGAACTGCAGCTGAATTAGTGTTTCCTAATGGTTTTTTTAGTTGGCTGGATAATTCAGTGAGTTAAGTATCTAGCTACGGAGGCAGAGCTTGAGTTCAATTCTCCACTGTGCTACAAAAACCCAGCCTGTATGGCCTCAGGCAAGCTGCACAGTCCCAGCTTCTTCTTCTTTCCGGAAGAAGAAATGGTAAACCACTTCTCAGTACTCTGCTTAGAAAATCCTGGAAAGGACTGCCATAAGTCAGGATTGACGGCACAGAACTATTATTGTTATGGCTTTCTGCTGCCATCTTGTGTGCCATCTAAGTAATTCAATGCTCAGTAGCTGGTGCCTGTCTCCTGTGTCAGGTCTACATGGCATCCTTAGTCAGGCACTGTATAGAGCAGTAGGTCCTGAACTGTGGCAGGAGGAGAGGGGGAAGACAAAAGGAGTGTGGTGTTCGAGGGAGCTGCTATGGCACACCAGATTTTTTTAACTGATAGCTTTACAGTATTTCATTGCATATTAACAACAATCAAGTTTCAGGAGAGAGAAAATCATGAAGCCACTACAGGCATATGTGAAAGCATTAAGTCGGTTGTGGGTAACTCTCAGAAGTAGCCGTGATAAAAGAGTTCCTGCTGCCTTAGGTTGAAGATCTCAAACACCTGCCGGCCTTTGTCTCCCTCTTCTTCCTGAGAGGGCTGGCACTGACCGGGAGATTAAGCAGGTACCCTTGGTGTGACGAGAGCAGAGGCATCATCTTTAGGTGGAATCCATCCCAGGACCAATCCCTGGCCTGCCCAAACATGTCTTAGCAAGATCTCCGTTTTAGACCCTAAAGGCTTGCTAGTCTCTCCTCCTTGCTGTTCTTGGTTTCACTCCTCCCTGATGAGCCATTACCAGTCATTCCCTTCCATTTGTTGTTTTTACTCATGCTTCTGATATGTTACAGATCATCAGGACACATACCTCTGAACACTGCTTGGAATTTTCTCATCCAGAGATAAATAGGTCAAGGTCTGTCTCACCCGCATACTTTGCCTTCTTTGAAAAGCCATACGAGACTGGAAATAAAACTGCCTCTTTGAAAAGAGGTTACTTGGGAAAGGTGCAGCATTGATCCCTTATGCAATACGGGACTTTTCCCCCTGCCATTTTGTTATTATTGAAGACATGGTTTCAGATGCCTTATACAAAGAGGTTTGCTCTTAAAAAGTATGTTGAAAACAATTAATTAATAATATTACATCTATTTCACTTGACATCTCAAAGTGATATACAAATTTTAAAAATCAACATTTTGCACACCATGATGGCAGTATTAAACAGCAGACAAAATGCAAGACCTCTGGGTTTAATAAAGGGGCTCCTCTCGCTGGAACTGACAAATGGAATGCTTCCTAAATAATCTGTTAAGCCAATTGTCCATTAAATGAGCTGAGCATTTCATCTTATCCCCATTCTTCTTCTGTGTCAGGACTGGGTTTAGAAACTTTGTTCAGGCAATATTGTGTTTTGTACGGAGGTATGAGAGAACACAAAGTGTGTAAAAGCACACTGTCTCTTATCTTTTTTACTGCTCTTGCAGTAACCCCAGACTGGGGTGCTACAACCCAGGTGAAAAGAAGTGACTAGTTTTCGCGTACAGATGAGTCCATTATTTGTTTGTTTTTTTAAAGAAATATGACTAAACTACTTTCACTTCCTAAAACGAGGCTGAAATTTCCCCAGGCTAGGTCATGTGGCTTCTCTGAAGCCATACCAGGAAGAATCAACTTTGTAGGCGTACTGCCAGGCACACAAAGGAAACCTGAATGAGAGCAGGAGAGGAAGCAAACAGGAGAGAGCGCAGGGAAGGCAGCAAACACCTTGCCGGTTCAAGGAGGCAAAGCTGTGAAGAGAACAATCTTTCCCACGGAAAGCCTGCTTTAATGTAGCAAAGCCAGCTTTTCTTGTCAAAAAGATCAGAAATCCTTTCCCAGGCTTCTGGCTGCTTTCCCTGTGCTTGCCAACAAGATTGGCAAACACTCTTGCCAGCTACGGTGGGTGTGATGGACATGAGGACATGGATCGAGCCTGTTGTCGGCGCAGCTCAACTGGCCAGTGCTTTCTATGACACGGGGCTCCTTCTCGTGGTGAAGAACTACTACAACCAGACCTACGTGGCCAATTCCAGCGAGGTTGTGCAGCAGAAAGCCATCTCCAACTTTTACATCATCTACAAACTCGTGGACAGCCTGACCCCACTAGTTTCCGCTTATGGCCTGGCTAAACTGGGAGATCTGAAGAACAGGAAGATCTCCATCTGCGTGCCTCTGGCTGGCTACTTACTGTCCCGGATCCTGCTGCTCCTTTTGATTCTCCTGGGGTGGCCGATCGAGGTGATGTATGGGGCTGCCGTCGTGCATGGTCTGACAGGAGGTTTCACCACTTACTGGGCCAGCGTCATGGCCCTGGGCTCCCAGGCCTCCTCTGATAGCAGGAGATCATTGCGCCTCATCCTTATCGAGTTCATCTACGGTCTAGCTGGCTTCGTGGGGAGCATTGCATCCGGGCACCTCTTTGTCAGCTTCCATCTTACTTACCGGCATGGCACCATTTTGGTTTCTTTGAGTGTAGCTTTATATGCTTTCTGTCTTGCCTACAGCTTGCTTGTCCTCAAAGTGCCGAAACCTGGCAGTTCTTACCTGGCTGATTCTACCACAGATGTGGACCACCCCGACAAGCTGGCTGCTGACGATGCAGAGCCCGTCTTGCATGAAGCCAGACAGCATCCCCCAGTGGTATCTTTCAAGCTTATTGTCATGATGTTTGTGGGGGCTATCATCTATGACATAACCGTCACAGGAGCCATGGATGTATTGCCTCTCTTTTTGATCAAGAAACCACTGAGCTGGGGTCCAGAATATATTGGTTATGCCAATGCCGCTGGCTACATGATATTTATCACCAGCTTCCTAGGAGTCTTTTTGTTCTCCAGATTTTTAAGAGACACCACTATGATCATGATCGGGATTGTATCATTCTCAGCTGGCATCCTTATCATGGCCTTTGTGCAACAGACATATCTGTTTTACATTGGTGAGTCAGAACTGCTTCTATTCAGTGGGTGTTGGTTTGTTATGCCTATATTCTGAATGTTCTTGGGAACTGTATAATGTACCTGAATTAGTCTTACTGAATCCAACGGGATTTGCCTCCACATAGACCCACACAGGATTACACTATTGTCACTTTGGGGGCAGATTAGTACATTCTTTCTTCACCAATCACACAACATGATCACTAGAGCGGATACATTTGCCCCCAGAGTACTCCCACCTGCACCTTTCTGAACCCCCATTACAGGGGATTCTACTTCTTTGGTGCAGGTTGATGCACCCTAATTTCATCCAACTCCAGTGTATGTGATCACTGGGAATGGACCAAAATTGAGCCCTGCAGCTGTCAAAGCTGCCAAGGTTCCTTCTGATGTCAATTCCTGGCATCATGAAGTAGCTTAATAATTGAAGCACTTCACGATAGCAACAAATTGAATACTTCCCCTGCTCCTCAGTGGGGAGAATAAAGGGAAATGAAATTATTACTATTAAATTTTTGCCTCTGCTAAATAATTGCTGATGTGCTGAACCACTTAGATTAATTTAAAAAAATATTCATTGCATTTGTGTGAAGTGCCAATCAAAACTGCAGTTGTGGGCAGTTTCTTGATCACACTTCACACAAAGCAAAAAAAAAAAAAAGTTTTTTCAAAATATGATCTAAGCAATTCAGTGCACCAGAGATACTAATAATAATTTCACTTCCTTTGGCCCTCTGCAGAGAAGAAGTGTTCAGTTTGCTGACATCCTGAAGTGGCTTGTTTTGACACTTCACAATACTGGGAATAGGGTTGCTTGAGATCAGTATGCCATTTGGAAGTGAGGATCACACCACATGGCATATTGCTCGCTCTCTCCACCCCATCCCATGATCTCAAGTTCAGACCTCCCCAGCCTGCACCAAAAGAGCCAGTGCAGTTGCACACTTAAATAGGGCTCTCAGGCAGGGACCCGTTTGTGCATGGATGACAGTAAGATCATGAGGTGCCCTCAGGCCTGGTAGCTCAAATTCTGAACTCATGCTAACATTCTCAGACTTCTACGAATTATGCAAATCTTTCCTAAACTACAGCACATAACTGTTTCTGTACCTCCTAGTTTTGAGGAAAGGAAAAGACGTATGCAGCCTGCTGAAACTTCAAACCAGTGGAATTCCTCCTGAGCCACACCCGTCTTTCTGGCTTTTAACATTTCACCAGATATTGTCACACTTCTAAGCGTATGTTTTCAACCATGAGAGGTAGTAACATATACTCCCCTGCCAATGAAAACTGTTCGACCACGGGGCATCCTCACTATTTCTTGGAGTTCATCCCTGACCATTGGACTTGCTAGCTGAGGATGTTGGGAGTTGTAGTCTAAAACATCTGAAGAGCACCAGGTTGGAGAAATCTAGGTTAGGTTATTTCAATGCTCAAATCTCCCATGTTTTAAGAGAACAACTCCTTTCAGACACTCTCCCCACCCCATATATTGATTTCTAGCCTTGCTTGATACCTGCTGCTCTACCTTTTCTGCATGCAGGTAGTATATGGTGGGGATAATAGATGCAGTAGTCCAATATACTTGGAAGGCACCTGGCTAATGAAGGCTGCCAGAGATCATTCTCTGAATAAAGCTGAATACTGACACAATCCAGCACAGACGAATGACAAGCTATATTGTTGAGGGGGAATGCCTCCCAGCATCAGCAGTGCCATCAACTTCAGCAGCAGAGAACTTATTCGCCTATCAGATCCCTGAAGACTTCACAGCAAAAAAAGAGCATGGGAATAGCTTGTCTCATCCTATTTCCAATGGTTATCACATAGCAACATCCACATTTGTACCTATGCAATTATTCTGTATACACAGTGGAAACTATGAAGAACTTCCTTAAAAGAGTTGCTCAATGCTAGAAAAGAGATTCCTCTGACTCCTAGACCAGTTTAACCTGCTCTGATCTGGTTCTTGGCTTCCCTGAGTACAGAGGCAGGGGACCCTTTTGGCAGATTAACTGGCCAGAAGTTCATCCTTGTCAGAATGTTGAGTGGCTACTCAAGTGGAAAAAACCAAAACAACTTAACCCTTAATTCAGTCCATATTTGTTTGTCTTGCATGCCCTCAAGTTCCATTCAGTTTATGTGGATTCTTAAAAGGGCTTTCAAGAAACATGAGATACTTAAGAGGTGATTTTACCAGCAAGCTTCAATGGATGGGCAAGCGTTTGAACTGAGTCCTAGTCTGTCACTCTATCCACTACACCATATCGGCTCTCCTATGGCACATGGACTTTCATGCTTGTTTACTCAGCAATAAGTGCCTGAGATTCAAGGAGTTCACTCAAAATTACTGCCCCAACTAATATTGATTCTATAACTGTGTTCTTGCTCAATGGGAACAGCTGTTTCCCATTGTCAGTGTAGGTGACTTTTCATCCTCAGCCCATCAGCTCCTAAACCACAAATAGAGCCCTTGTTAACTCAGGCAACAGCAAAGTTGATGTAAAAATTCTTTTGGGACATGCAACCTATACTCAAATACATTGCATAAGCACATACTGTAATGGATGGCTCCTAATGTGGGGATCATGTGGGGATCATGGATAGTTCCCCCTGCTTCAGGTCAGATGTTGCCAGTGGTTTTATGCCAGTGGTTTCCTTCCTTTAATCATTTAGGACCCAACCCCCTACTGCAAGACAGTGAGGGTAGCACTTCATTGATGGCGGTGCTTCCTAGTTCTACCACAGCATTGTCCTTGGGCCTAATTGGTTCTTAATGGGCAGGTGTCTGGCATGGCCTACGTTCCCATACTCTGCTAGCACTGCCACCTCAATTTAGGAGAGCCCCAGAATTCTATCCATCATCACTGTTAGCCTAAAATATCTGTACAACATTATGCTATCCACCACTTGCAAACCTATACAATAGCTGAAACTTGCCCTGGAGTAGATGATGAAGCATGAGCAGGTCTGCGTGAATCGGTTCTCAGTTTAAAATTGAACAGGAGAAATTCGTGAGCCAAAGGGTGGGTGATGCCTTTATTAAATCACTAAAATAACGCAAGCAGAAGGTCATTTTTGACACTGCAGGAGGCTTCATCAGGCTGAGCTTTATATAGCGTAAAAGAAATGCCAGATTGATAAAGACTCCTGTAGAGTGGAAAGCCAGTTTTTGCTTTTTGTATGTTAGTGGTCTAATAAAGGCATTGCCCCCCCCCTTGTATTCAGATTGTGTACAAGGGCCACATAGCTTCCCCTCCCACACCCTTACTTCTGAGCCAGATGACATTTGCATCTGGTTGTACCCCTGACACCTTTGGATCCTCTGCAACCAGGGAAGCTTTTCCACCCAACACTTGATCCAGCTTTGGTCCTCCTCCAACGTACAAATAAGAGGCAGAAGGAGAAGGTGTGAAATATTCTTAGCCAGTGCTTGAAAATACAAACAAAAATCATCTAACTCCTGTCTTCCTTCCCATTCCTTGCATGAGGAAAGTGAGAAAGAGTGAACAGCTTTCAGCTGATGCTTCCAGAGTTGAATCCTAGCAGCAGCTCAGCCAACTCCCGGCAGTGGTTCGGCAGGAAAGAGAATCCCCACCTCCACCTCCACAATCCATGATTACAAACAAGTGAGATTTCCCTGTATGTGCTTTTGGAAAAGGTGTGGGAGGCCTAGATGGTCCATGAACTGGATGAGGCCAGAAGCCAGGGGTCCTACCCTGCTGTAGTCCTAGGCCCTTAGGATAGAAGCTAGAAAGAGGGCAGAAAGGGAGATCTACCTTCAGAGGCATCACTGTGATAGTCTGCTTCAGGGAATTCCCTTTTCACCACTGCAGTAGTCTGTCACCCCCTCCCTAAGGAGGATCCACAGGTGTGACAGCAGTGTCCAAGGGGCAGCTTGCCATGCCTCTCTATGGTATCTAAATCCTGCATCCTGCCTTTCTACAAAAATCATTATGGAGGTCAAAAATCCTCTTATGTACATTATGGCAGCATGAGGAAGCCTTTTCCTATTGCGATCACAGTGCTACACAGACACAGATTTGTACAAGAAGCCAGCCTTGTTAGCCCCCACATTACTAAATTAAGCCTAAGCCTAAATGAATTTAACATTGCCTTAATCTTGGTTAAGCTTTGATGACATTTGAATGTTTTGCTCGTGGCATTTAAGCTAGTATGCTACTTAAAATACAGCAGGGCAAGTCCTTGTGAGGACTTCCAGATCTTGTCCGTCTTCAGCTCCTTTGAAACTTACAAAGCAGGGAGGGATGATGGGAATTGCAGTTCAATATTATCTGGATGGTCGTGTGGTCCCCATTCCCTGAACTGAAGCATAACACTTTGGCTTGATGTTTAATGGAGCCTCTCCATGCCATTCTGCTCTCTTCTGTCCTAGCTCGTGCAGTGATGCTCTTTGCTCTCATTCCCTTGCCGACCATCAGATCTTTGTTATCCAAACACGTGGAAGGATCATCCTATGGTAAGGAGCTGCTGCAAAGTGCTCTGTATTCTTCAACTGTATTCGGAATAAGTGTCCTTTTAGAATAAAAATATTCAGATGGGTTAACTCCTAGCATTTTATAGCCTGCACAGTGTTAGTGTGGTACCACTCTTTAAGTAAGGAGAACTGAAGAATTTTTTTAAAAATATGATTTTTTTTACTGACTTCTTATTCCTGTCTGGCTTACCCCAACGAATATACCAGAAAAGCAGGCCAAGAGTTGGAAAGATGAAGTCCAGAGACCACAAATGATCTCTGCCCTCCCTCTAATCGTTTGTAGCCTCTGTAATTAAAATAAAAAAAGGGGGGGAGAGTGGAAAATTACTAAGTGATTGCTGATGGCTGCCTAAGTGCCAATGGAGTTATTAGCATCTCTAGCCCCCCCCCCAAGGAAGTGGGGCTCCAGCAGTTGCCTGCACTTGCCAGGTCCAAACATCCTGGAGGCCTTTGATTGGCTAGTCTGGGAAACAGGAAGCAAAGTGGGGTGAGCCTTGCCAGTCCACTCCAATGGGGTCCTTTTTAGGTCCAGAACAACCACATTCATTTGTTATAGCAAATACAAGAACCCCATTGCAAAGTGGGGCCTTGCTCAGAGGTGAGAAATGCTCCTTATTTTTTTCTTTTAGTACAACTCCTGTAATTCTCAGTGGGAGATTCTGGGACATGTAATCTTAGCGAGGAATGTTCCTAGGCACTGGTCTTCCTTGATGGAGCTCGTAACACAATAAATATGCTGGTCTTTACAGAATCTTCTGCTTTTTACTATAAGGACCATGTAAATCCTGCACCCTAAGTGTATTGTTTCCAGTTTCACTGTGTTGTTTGCTTTTCTCATTACAGTGGTGCCCCGCTTGACAACGATAATCTGTTCTAGGAAAATCGCTGTTAAGCGATATCGTCGTCAAGCAAAAAACAAAACAAAAAAACCCTATTGGAATGCATTGAAAACCAGTCAGTGTGTTCCAATGGGGAAATACCTCATCGTCCAGCGAAGATTGGCCATAGAGAATCGCTGATCAGCTGTTTTAAAACGCTGTCTTCCGAAGCAGGGCTCCAGAAAGCAGCCATTTTGAGAAGGGAGGGAAGCCATTTTACGAAGGAAAGCCATTTTGTGGAGCCAGAAAAATTGTCATTTAGCGAACAAACGGTTCGCGAAGCAGGCTCCTAATCGACGTCAAGCGAAAAAAACACATTGGAACCATCATTTTGCGATTGCAATAGTGATCGCAAAATACTCATTGTAAAGCGATTTCGACATCATGCAGGGTGTCAAGCGGGGCACCACTGTATTTATTAGTCACTACTGTGATGTTGGTTGTACAGTGGTATTAACTTTCAATTATATCTTCATGATGCAAAGTATTATTATGGTAATTCCTCATCCAAGCTCAAAATAATACATGCCAGACTCGCGACAGGAAGTGGAATTGGCTTCCTACATAGGTATTTCACAAATGAACTGGATTTAAGCTTCATTCTTCTCTCAACACTAAGAAAACATCCAGGTTGCAAGAATGACTATTCAAGCATATTTTAAAAGTCATTCTGGTGCTAATTATGCAAAGTGTATGCAAGAGGTATTCTTGTTTTTCTGAAATAGGTTTTGAATTTCACCTGACTCTATATAGCTGAGACACAAATACTTTCCATGGGTGGGCCGTGACTTCCCACAGATTTCTTCAGAATAGCCAGTGATTACAGTGATGGGAGTTGCCATCCAAGAGCATATGGATGGTTCATCCCCAATTTTTCAATTATCATAAATCAAAACAAGGGAAAAGAGCCCCTGATTATTCAAGACTCTAGCTCACTTTTAGTCTTTTATATTGGCATAGATGAGTCATTTCTCTCGCTCTCTCTCAAGCTGTAAAGTCAATGGGATCCTGGATACGATCTTACCTCTCTTATTCACTTCCATGTTTGCATCTAGGCAAGGTGTTTGTTCTGCTGCAGCTGTCGCTGGTGATTGCAGGTGCTGTGACCTCAACAGTCTATAATAAGATCTACCAAAAAACACTGGACTGGTTCAGCGGCTTCTGCTTCCTATTGTCCTGCGGCATTGGCTGCCTAAGTCTCATCCCTATCAGGTAGGCCAAGGAAAAAGCAAACTACTACTGTTGAGCTACTGGCATTGCAAGGTAGAAACTGCTTTTCCTTTCCAAGGGTGTGCATCAAAGCAGACAGACTCCCAACATCATTCAATACGGCCTCTTGGATAGGGCCCAGGTTTTAAAGTCCAAAATTCATGTACCTTCATTAGGATTAGCTATAAATAAAATCCTTTAAAAATTGAGCCTGATGAAGAGCAGTGGACAATTGAAAAGCTTGCATTTTATTTTTTTAATTTACTTATTTTTGACCCTACTAAAGGTATTGAGTATCTTAGATTTTGTTTCCGTCCTATGGAACAAGTTGTTAACTACTGCTGCTGCTGTTACTACCTCTTCTTCATGGGGGAAAAACAGATTTTAGTTGTTGATTTCCTGTTCTGACTTGCCTTATGTCACTGGCATGTTTTAGCTTGAGGACTGGAGACCCTGCAGCCTCCAGAGGTTGTTCAATTCCTTCAGTCCAAACCAGCCTGCCCGATGGCAATATGAAGAGAGTTCTCACATAACAATACCTGGAGGACCCAGGCTCCTCACCTCATCCTTGCCAGTTTATTGTTGTCTCCCACTTACTATTCTTCTACAACAACAATTGGGAAGAAGTCTTCAGACTGAGCATGATCAGTGGCTACAGAATGCTGGCTGTCTATTGCATAAGGAAGAAGAAACAAGAGAATGTAAGGGAGAGACTTGAAAAGTGATACGTCAGGGACTCCAAACAGAAATATTCTACAGGGTGACATTTTCATTGCAAGTTCCATTTTTCTCTAATACTTTTACTCTATGAGCCCTAAACTCACTTGTTTTGCTAGTTCTGTAAGTCAAAAATACAATCTCCTTCTTAGTTACAGCTCCCAGAATCCTCCTGGCAATACAGCTGCTGCCAGATGTCTGGTGGGGCATTCTGGAAGTTGTAGCCCAGAAGCAGTAGTTTTTCCAGGCTTTGAGGACAAGGAAACAAAGACTTCGCTGTGAAAAAGGTAGGCAGAGCTGGCTGAAATCCTGTTGCTTAGCAAAGCACGTCATCCTAGAATAGGTCACTAGAACATGAGGGGCTGACTCATGAAATCCCCACTCCTCTAGTTGCAACTTACTACACTAAGCAACAGGATCTCAGCTGCTGTTGAGCTTTTAACTCCACAGATTCAAGAACTCTGTACTGATGTTATGTTTCTCTCCGGCAGTATTGTCGCATGCAAGCAGCAGGCATCCGCTGGTTCACTGGAAATTTTAATGGACTGAGAAGCGAAAGAGAGGGCACCTGTTTCAGAAGCAGAGATTCGGCAACATCGTGGGACCATTTCTGGCACTGAGCAGTCTGGCAGACACGAACTGTGAGGAGCTGAGAGGCCCGCTATTATCTCATGTGCCTAGGATGATACAGCCAAGGGTATCAAGAACCAGCAAAGAAATCAGTATTTCCAGAAAGGAATTAGCACAGTCCCTGCTTTTTCGGTGGGCCAGAGTTGCTGCTGGAGTCTCTTTAGGCAGATCAGGTTCCAGAGCTTTGAGTGCAGCTTTTTAAAAGCAGCACATTTCATGATCCTTTTAAAAAGAAAGTGCCTTAGAATTAAGTGCTACTAATGGAGGCTCCAGTACTTTGGCCACCTCATGAGAAGAGAAGACTCTGTGGTAAAGACCTTGATGTTGGGAAAGTGTGAAGGCAAGAGGAGAAGGGGACGACAGAGGATGAGATGGTTGGATAGTGTCATCGAAGCGACCAACATGAATTTGACCCAACTCCAGGAGGCAGTGGAAAATAGGAGGGCCTGGCATGCTCTGGTCCATGGGGTCACGAAGAGTCAGACACGACTAAACGACGATGAATGATAAGTAACCTCTTCCATTACAGTAGAACCCCTCTTGGAGTCGGACACGACTAAACGACGATGAATGATAAGAAAAGTAACCTATTCCATCACAGTAGAACCCCTCCTGCCCCATCCATGGGATCAGTATCCACTGATTCACTGTTCCACGCTCTGAAAATATTTTTTTTTAAAATCCTCTCTCTATATATCTATACACCATGGGATCAGTATCCGCTGATTCACTGTTCCACGCTCTGAAAATAGTTTTTTTAAAAATCCTCTATATATCTATATATAAAAATGGTGAAGTTACAGAAACTGGCCACTAGAGGGAGTCAGAGAGCATGCTGTATATAATACAGTGGTGCCCCACATAGCGAGCGCCCCGTTTAACGACGAATCCGCATAGCAATGCGGATTTTGCGATCGCATTGTGATGTTTCACTTACCGATCTTTGAATTGTGATGTTTGGAAAACAGCTGATCGGCGGTTCCAAAATGGCCGCCGGGTGAAGAAAATGGCAGCCCGCAGCGTTTTCGCGCGGTTTCCTCGCTTACCAAGCGGCGAAAATGGCGGCCGTATGGAGGATTTCCACTTAGTGATGAGTTTATCCCCCATAGGAACGCATTGACAGGGTTTCAGTGCATTCCTATGGGGTTTTCCGTTCCAGATAGCGATGATCAGTGCATTCCTATGGGGTTTTCCGTTCCGGATAGCGATGTTTTTCCTGTAACGGATTAACATCACTATGCGGGGCACCACTGTATTCCCTACTATAATAGTGTTTACTATAATCTGCATTTTCGGCATCTGTGAGGGAAACATCACTATGCGGGGCACCACTGTATTCCCTACTATAATAGTGTTTACTATAATCTGCATTTTCGGCATCTGTGAGGGAACTTGGAACTGATCCCCCACGGATATGGGGATCCTACTGTACTCAATGATAGCATGTTGCTTTTTATTTTATTTTTTAACTGACTAAAAATAATATATGCAAAAATACAGAAATGGCTCCTTGTCCCCACAAAGTAATATTTTAGGAATGTTACTCAGTACACTAAAATACAGCATTGCGCATCATTATTCCGTTTTGAATACTATCCCCAAAATTATTTGTTACAAAAAAAAGGTGTTACAAATACTGCCTTTTTTGGGTTCTGGTTTGATGTGCAGAGGTTTCAGTCCCTAATCCTGGTCCACGGTTACCTGCATGCCTCCTGACCCAGAGAGCCCAAATCTACCCAACAAGGAGGGTTGCATATCCTTTTTTCCCCCAGACTAGATGCCCCCTTGCTAGAGACGTTCTTGCAGAGTCCAGACATTCACCTCTAGCTCTGGTTGTCTTGTCCTGAGAGAAAGCTTGAAGGGCTCTGGGACCCTCTCCATCTCGGCGATTCCAGCTCTGCAATTCAGTGTTAATTTAAGCACAACAGCTACCCATCCTATGATGGGGCAATGCACTAAATGCCACTGTAACCACTCCTTCACATGTACCTCAGCGTTACTGTCCTGTCCGCATGTGACTTCACATATATCTCAGCTTCCATAATGACAGGAGTCATTATTAACCTCCAAAATCATGTGAATATTGAGGGGTGGCCCAATTTTTCTGCTGGATATGACTGGAACATAATCCCCACACCCTATAGAAAAGCTGACTGGACAAGTAACTGAAATCTTTATTAACAATAGAAATGGGGGGAGCCACTTCCTCCACAACTAGAACCAATAGACCAATACAGTTGGCACAGGACCAGTGACCTGTCACAGAACTGCCCCCTCCCAGTTTCTCCTGCCTGAAGTAAGAGTCTCACTCTATCTAATAGTAAAGCTGGTTTTGCAAGGATTCCAATATTATCCTGGAAGGATCTCGCAAAGAGCCACTTCTGTCAGGAGAAAGTATAGTCAATGTTGGGCAACACATAAAATATACACTTTACAGGAATTTTTAGTGTGCCTATTATAGGAAAGTAACTCTCACGGGGGGTTTTGTAATTTAAAGTCAAAGAACAGATTTTACTTTGTGCTGCACATTTTACTCCAGTGCTAGTCAAAAGACATTGTGCCACTCTTCTGTCTTTTCCTTGATAATTGATTTTTTTATTTTTGGCCAAGAAAAATGGTGTAAGTAGCCTTGAAAAATATGGAAGGGTTGCACATAGAATATGTGAAAGAATCTGGAAGATTTTATTAGAAAAGCTTCATTTGGCAGCACTCTAACCTCCAAATTACTGATCAGAGTTAGACATCACGGCCCCCTAAGCGGCTGGAAGCAGGAGCATCTCTGGTTACTGTGTGGCCTTTGGCAAGCTGTACAGTTGTCATGGATTGCCCAGTCACCACACAGGGGACCCACTTACCACTCAGTCACACTACCCTTGTGCTATGTAGTGTGAGTGCATGCCAGGCAGGTCAGTGCACTAGCGACTGGGAAAGCTTCCTGTGAATCCCTTCTCCTTTTGAGCCATTTGCTCCTTGGTGCTCCAAGGAGAGCAAACAAGTACAGTGGTGCCTCGCTTAACGAGCGCCCCGTACAGCGATGAATTCGCATAGCGATCCCTTTTCCGGGATCGCTAATGCGAAGGCATCACGTTGGCCCCAATGGGCGAAACTCGCATAGCGAAGATCGGTAAACGTTTCGCTTACCGACCTTCGCTTTGCGACCCGCGGATCAGCTGTTCAGCGGGTCCAAAATGGCCGCCGGAACACCTGAAATGGCCGCGGGCAGCGTTTTCGCGCCCTTGGTAAGCGAGGGGAGGGTGTGAAAATGCTGTGCGCGGCCATTTCGGGTGTTCTGGCGGCCATTTTGGACCTGCCGAACAGCTGATCCACGGTCTCGCTGCGGCCGAAATGGCCGCGTGCAGCGTTTTTGCGCCCTCCCCTCGCTTACTGAGGGCGCGAAAATGGCTGCCGGACCCGGAAAACATCGCTGTACGGTGAGTTTTCTGCCAATTTGGAAACATCGTTTAATGCGTTCCAATGGCTTTTTTTGATCCGTACAGTGATGTTTTCGCATAGCGAAGGTTAATCCGGAACGGATTAACCTCGCTATGCGAGGCACCACTGTAGGTTGTTTCTCCTGGTTGCAAACCAACCCTGCAAAGTAGGAAACTTGAAAATAACCTAAAATACTCAAAAGGCTTCCAAATGCATAAGACATAAGGTTTAACATCTACAACCCCTCCAGCTGTTTGAATAGTGCCGTAAGATTTTTATTATTTTTATTGAAGAAATGTAAGTAAAACATATCAGTGCAACGAGAGGCTTAATGATTCTAGCAAAATGATTATTATGCTGTGACGCACTTCCATTATCAGGTTACACAAAAGCCATTTCAGAGATTCAGGCAGGTAGAAGTTATTCCCATTTGGACAAGAAAAGCGATCTAAACGTAATCTATATTTACAAAGTAGCATGGTGCCAGGGCATAAGCAGAATTCAGCTCAGTAGCAAGCTAAATTACATATTGAAGCAAAACAGCATGAAAGAACTCAAAACTGCAAGTCAGGAGTTGCTGAATTGACGACCCTCAGTTCCATCTAGTCTTATGTCCCCTCATGAGCTGTCTGTAGTTGTTACCCCAATTAGACGAAGCCAATTAATTGTTTTCTGCTGCAGAAGGACCCCCAAGATCTTACCTGGTGAAAGCAATTTGTGTATTTTAACAAGCCAAGCACTTTACACTTCTCAGAAGACACTTCTAAGGTCACAGATAACATTACACAGCAGTTAGCATTAGAGATGTGTACTTACAACTACACAGGCCTGCCTCCTAATTAGCTCAGCTCAGGCAATTTTAAAAGTTTAAGGGATTATTTGAACTATTTTCTGCTGGTTTCTCCACAACTGTCCCATTTTTGAGTACTGTACTCCCTACATGGAAAACTCTGAAAAGGGTCATCATAAGACTTGATGGCACATGATGATGATGATGAGTATGATGATTAGAGAAGCTTTGAGACATGATTTCTTATTTGGAAGTTACTATAAAACTTCCACTTGTATTACAGTGGTGCCTCGCTTAGCGATTGCCTCGTTTAACGATGTATTCGCTTAGCAATCAGGTTTTAGGAGCGATCTTGCACTCCGTTTAGCGATGTTTCCAATGGGGGAATTTCGCATAGCGATGTTTGGGACCTTGCTTCGCTTAGCGATGACAGTTTAGGTCCCCCTGTTTCGCTTAGCGATGTTTTTGACAGCTCCGTTTTTGCTATTTTTAAAAGGTGTTAAATTGTTTAAAAAGGGTTCAGAGTGCTTGAAATCGCTAGTGCACTTAATAAACCCTTTGTTAAACTAATTTGGCTTCGTTCTGACTCTTTTTGAATTTTTGGTGATTTTTTTCTCCCCCATTGAAATGCATTGAAAAGGTTTCAATGCATTCCAATGGGGGAACCGCGGTTCGCTTAGCGATGTTTCCTATGGCGATTTTCGCTTAAGGAAGGCAATCCGTTCCCATTGGAACGGATTATCCAGTTTTCAATGCATTTCTATGGGAAAACGTGTTTCGCTTAGCAATGTTTTCCCATAGCGATGATTTTTTTGGAACCAATTAAAATCGTTAAGCGAGGCACCACTGTATTTTGTACATAAATCTGTGAGTGAAAAATGCATAAAGATCATTATATGGGTTATACAAAAGCTGCAAATAAAAAAAAAACTGGCCGCAGACACACTCTTGACACACTCTCTGGCTATGGTCACAAGTAACACGTTTAAGCTGCAGATGCAAAGGGTAACTAGTTAGCTGTGAGCACTGACATTGTACTCGGTCCATAGCTCAGAAAATTCTCTTGCTCAAGGGAAAAAAGAAGTGCAACTTACATGAAGGAAGAAACACTGTCC